CCCTCCCTGGCAGTGTCCAAGGCCAGGTTGGATGGAGCTCTGAGCACCCTGGGCTGGTGGAAGATGTCCCTGCTGATGGCAGGGGGGTTGGAGCCAGGTGAGCTTTAAGGTCCCTTCCAACCCAAACCATTCTATGGTTGCAGGCAGTTCTTTTATTCGTATCTGTTTTCTAGATTTATTGTTTAAAAATTCATCTTGTGTGGCAAGGTATGAACAGCCTTTGCTGGTGCTGACATTGTAAATGTGCCCTACTCAAGGGACGCCTTGAGATCCCTCCTTCACCTGGGGATGCTCGTGGAGAAAAAGCAGTGTCCGTGCTGTTAGCCCCCGAGGAGATGCCATGTCCGTACCCGACAGAGGTGTCCGAACCCCACGTGGCAGCCAGCTATCACCGTGTGCGTGAAGAAGGGCTGCGGGTGTGAGCATCTGAGCTTTCTCTGTGAGATTAGATCTGTTTGGTGACTTAAAATTAATTTCTAAAGTACAGTAATTTGATTCCTAATATCAAATAAAAGGTTTCAAGCAGTTCCCTTCGTGTTTTCAGAACCAGCCAGCGACGGGAGGTTGGTAGGGGTCTGTGCAGGCGGTGGTTGGTGTGGTTGAGCTGGGAGTTGGAAACCCTTCCAGCAGCAGACGGGTTTCTGCTGTGGAACTGCTTTCCCTTGGTGTGCAGAAGTACTGCTCGGTGTTTTAGCTGGCACACTGGGATTGCACCTGTGCTTATTTTTACAGATTTAAATTACAAAAATTGCAGAAGAGTCTACTTGCATCTGGAAGGACAAAACATTATAGAGTGTGTGTGTATGTATAAAAGAAATATAAAACCTTATAGTCCATGTGCTTTTAACATGCTATGCCAGAGCACAGCCGTGATGTTCTTCTATTCTGGTGGTCGCAAGGCTTTTTTTCCACATCTGAAGAAGTTGCCAGGAATAGCATCTTTGATCTCAGAACAGAAAGCCAAAGTCTGCTCACTGACTGGCTCCTGTAGGTAGGACGTTGGTGGCGTGTGTTTGGTGGCAAAGGGCCTCTACTCCTCCAAGTGTGCACGACTAGCCATTGCCTCACGGGGCTGGAATAGAAATGCAGGAGAATGCTGTAGGACTTGCTGGTTTAGCTGGCCTGTGAACTGGCTTATGAAAGGTAGGAAATTTTGTATTCCTGTCAAGTCGGAGCAGAACCCTTGAATACGTTATTCTGTTTTTAACTCATTTTTAGATTTAGAAGTTTAAAAGATTGTAAATGCACACCAGTCTCGGGATATTTGAATTATTTTGTTGAAAAGTTTTGTACAAAGGTGCAGAAATTGTTTGAAGTGCAGTGTCTTGTTCTTGGTTTCCTTTAGAAACTTCCCTGGGTGCCTAATTCTGTGTTTTCTTTCCTCTTAGATGAATCGACTCCTAAAGAAGTCAGCAGGGTAAGTGCTACCCCCTGTCCCCTCTGAAGAGCGGAGCGGTCTCGGGGGCCCACTGCTCCCTGGAGATGGTTTTTGTGCAGTCTCTGATCGAGATTGAACTCTGTTCCCTGGACGTTGTGGCTCTCCAGAGGAGAGAAAATGGTGCCCTGACTGACTAGAGAACAGTTAGTAGGGAAGAGAAGTGTTACAGCTGTAAATAAATCAAGGGTGTTTTACATGAACAAATGTAGAATTCTCACACTGCTGCTGTCGTGGTCCTGTTCTAACGAGGTACCTCATGGAAACCAGGGAAATCACGGGGCTCTGAGTTTTGGCGGAACAGCAGGCGATTTAATTGGCGTTACTGCCCGAGAGGTGCCGAGCGTCAGAGGAGACCAGGGACGGAGCACGCCCGGTCTGATAACTCCCTCGGAGACCTGCTGCGGTACAGATGAGCCGAGTTCTTTAATCTGGAATATTTTGCCGTGTGCTGTATGAAATGCAACGTAAAATCTTCAAAACCCTCTTCAGTAATGAGTTCCCAGCTCTCGCCTTCCAGCTGACGGCCGCTGCGTCCTGCAGAACTTCAGTCCCCGCTAAGGACTAGTTAGGGGCATCAGTTAGGAGCTCGTGCATGGCCGGAGGTTGGGATGGGATGGTCTGGGGCCCTCGGAGCACCCCAGCGATGTTTTCTGGGAGGTGCCCCCGGGAGGTGACCCCGGGAGCAGAGGGCTGGCGCGGGGGGGCTGACGCTCACCGCTTACGAGACTGCGAGAAAGGGATTAATTGGTGCCTGGGGTGAGGAGTTTGTTCAATCAGAAATTCGCCGTGGATTTGATGTGCCATGGTTGTGTAGAAATTCGCCATGGATTTGATGTGCCATGGTTGTGTAGAAATTCGCCGTAGATGGGATGTGTTATGGTTGTATAAAGGTGTTATGAATGTTGAAATTAGTATATTGGTATATTATTAGTATATATATTAGTATTATTAGTATAGAAATCAGTATATTTTAGTAATTTGTTAATTTATAAGATGTTTTTTGGTCACCCTGTAGTATTCAGCGACTGTGGCATTTGAGTAAATACCTATCGGTGCAACCAAAGGCTGTTGTTAGTATACCTCTGTATATTGCTTTGATTTCGAAATAGTTAAAGAATGCCTAAAATTTTCAAAGCTCTAATTATTTTGGTGGAAGAAAGCTCCTTTTAACTGTCGTTTGTTTGGTGGATAGAGTCACGTTTTACCTAAAACTCTGCAGAATGCAGTTAGAGCTATTCCAGGCAGAGCAAGCGAGCCCGGGAGGCTGCGGTCCCCGCCT